AGGCTTGTGCCACTGCACCTGGCCCCTTAGGTAACTTCTTCACTGTGACAATGATACCAGTAGGTACCTGAAGCTTACTGTGCACTAGGCGTCGCTCTCAGTCCCCTGCACTTCTTAACCCATTTGTCTCCTCCACCCTGTGATGGTGGATCCTTCCTTTCCCTGTTTACAGATGGGGATGCTGAGGCCTGGAGAAGTTCAATGCCATGCCCGGGGTCACAGAGTTTCTGTGGAGCAGAGCTGGGCTTTGACCTCCAGCATCTGCAGGCCTGGCTTGGCCCTCTGCACCACAGCGCCCCCGGGCACTGGAGAGCGATGTGTGCTCCATGCAGGGGGCTAGGAGCCCGTCACTACCCGAGAACAGCTGCCAGTGCTTAAGGATCAAGGGGCCCAACATTTCCCTATTCATATTCCCTAGGCATCATAAAAATATCAGGTGGTATATGCTCTTTGATAGCCTGTTCCCTCTTTGAAAATATGAGTTTTTCTCATGTCAATAATGTTCTATGATATAGTCCTAGCAGCTGAGTCTAATCGTTCAATATGGAGTACGCACTTGACCTTCCCTCCTTGGGCATCCCGCTAGTCCCACTGTTCTAAGTAGCCCTGGGGGAAACGTCCTCACACATGCTTCCTTTTGCATCTCTCCAATGGGGAGTGGAAGAGCTGGGTCAAAAAGAGCATATATTTACAAGGGTGTAAACCATGCTCCTTCCCTAACAGAGGGTCCTCATGGGTGCCCACTGACAGTGGCTCCCTACTGTCACTCCTGAGATGCAGGAACCTTCAGATGGAACCAGGGCTAGTTCCACAGTTTGCAGTGCAGGATGAAGATGTGCCCCAAAGGGCAGAAAAAGGGACTGATGATGTAGTTCGGTAGTAGACTGGTCACCTAGCATGTGGGAGGCAAGGCCCTGGCTTCAGTCCCTGCACCACACACAAATAAGGAGGCAGGACAAAGCCCTTCCTCTCCTCTTCCTCCCTTTCCAGCGGGTTTCGCTCTCCATTTGATGCTCTGCTTCCTTGGACACCCCCACTGGTCCCTGGTCTGCACCTGTGATCTGGTGGGACTGGGGGTGCAGCTCAGAGGTAGAGTGTTAGCCTG